GTTTGTTTCCAGCTCAACTGTGGAAATCAAAATCTGTCTTACAGACCCCATCTGGCAAGAAGGATGAATTAACTGGTTTCGTCTGCAGTTCCAAATTCCATCCAGTCACCCCAGCCCTAGCACCTTTGCTTGTCTCCATGAGATGTGTCTAGTCTAGAGGGTAGCATTTTTTTGTTGATCCCAATCATCATGTGAAAAGATTCTGGAGCTGTCTTATGTCTTCCTTCATTCTCTGTGAAAATGCAAGCGACTCATTTATAACGCAGCAACAGCAACCAGGCCTTCCTGGGCATGGCAGTGGGGAAGATGTGGCAGAAAGGACCAGGTGGCAGCCCTGTAGCTTAGGGACAGTCCCTCAGCACAGGCCGTAGAACAAGAAGGTCTGAATAAGAACAGGACAAAATGAGGCCACCTAATATGTCAGAGGAAGACAAATTTCTAGAAAAGTGAAGGCAACTCTCCTTCCATATACTTGGGGTAAAAAAAAAAAAAAAACAGAGAAGGGTGAGTGACTGGCTTCATCAGTCCAGCAAAAGATAGGGAAGGTGCATAAAATAAGATATTACTATGCTTCAAGTCAGTTGAATCATTTCATTATGCAAGTGGAAGGCTGCCAAGAATGTCTGTAGACAGTGGCCTTTACGTGTATCTATTTTAAATAATTAGCTTAGGTCTGAGGTATAATGACTAATCTCCATGAGTCTATGCCTGATGGTGATAAAGAGAAACAGTTATGACATACATGGAAGAACCGGAAACAATTACAATAAGTGAACTATGCACAAAAGCCTTTTGCTCTGCATCCTGGATTCGTGCTTTTGAGCAGCCTTTTTGCTGAAAGCCTCATGAAATAGTTTTGTTTAAGTGTTATGTTTAAAATTTCCCTCTTACCAGTTATTGAGAGAATAATAATGCCGAGCTCATCTAATAAGCAAATGTCTAGTTTGATAAGCTTTAACCAAGCCTTCACACCCTGGGATGGTTGTTAATGACATGGATCAGAATCCCTGAGGTGGCTGGAATGTGACCGGTTAGTAGCACAGAAAGCTCTGCTTGCCTATAGAGGCTGTGGATATTTTTAGGAAGGTCATGCATTATGGGATGGAAACTTTATTTGTTTATTTACTTACTTATTTGAGATGGAGTCTCACCCCATCGCCCAGGCTGGAGTGCAGTGACACGATCTTGGCTAATGGATTCAACCACTTCTCTGCCTCAGCCTCTCAAGTAGCTGGGATTTCAGGCACCCGCCACCACGCCTGGCTAATTTTTGTATTTTTAGTAGAGACAGGGTTTCACCATCTTGGCCAGGCTGGTTCTGAACTCCTGATCCACCCACTTTGGCCTCCCAAAGTGCTGGGATTACAGGTGTGAGCCACCACACCTGGCCTGGGATGAAAACTTTTATAAACAAATTGCTACATAAAAACGAATGTGCTGTTGCAGCACTTACAGAGGTCTCCTTTGCTTTGAAGCACCACTGTTTATAGGCTGCAGACTGTAGAGGAAAGTACTGGGAAATGGCACAGGTCACATGGGCCAGTACCATGTTTTAAGGTCAAAGCCGCTGTTATTTTTAACAGTGACGTATCTCATTATTAAAATCAATCACTTTTGCCATCTTTAAAATATTTTGGTTTTTAAAAAGACAAGGGCCTGTGGCTCCAACTATTTTGTTGGATGTACTAACATAAAGAAATTAGTTTTAATTGATGTTTCTAAATGATTCCTTTTGTAAAATGGTAGGAGAAAATGAACTGGGCCAGTTAAAATGGTATCTGGGCCTTTTTCCCCCTTAGCCAAATCCTTCTTTACAAAGTCAGCATCATTTATAGAGTTCCAGTCCTAAAACTGGGTGGCAGAGAAATAAGTGATGATTCAAGTTACCTTGCAAGAAGTGCAGAAGAGTGGGTGGGAGTGCTGGACAGGTCAGGACACCTCAGGTACTAAATAAACATTTTGTCCTACTGAGGCCTGACTAATGGTGATTCTCAGAGGGGTGGAGGAAGACCACTGTACAGCCACATCCATTCCCACACACTCTTTTGGGTGCCCCTGCCGGTCAGCCTGGCAGCTTCGAGCCAGTGGAAGAACTGTTCCCAATCACAGAAGGAGAGTTCCAGATGAGAGCACATGGGGAAGAGGGGCTCAGCCAATTCCCTGCACATTTCCAGGAGTCACAGTAAGACTGGTCTCTACTAACATGCATGCCAAGGATGGGGGGCTGGAGGGAAGTGGGGACATCTGCCAACAAAAGAGCAAAGAACATAACACACTCCATTTCCCATTTTAATACTGATCCTTTCCAGGAGATGAAAGAATAAGATGTGTTTGGAGAGAGAGAGAGAGAGAGAGAGAGAGAGAGAGAGAGAGTGAGTGTGTGTGTGTGTGTGTGTGAGACTGCGTATGTGTACATGTGTGTGAATAACGACTCCTAAACAAAGGTGTGGGAAGGACCTTCCTCTACCAAATGACTGGCTTAACACTCTGACTCATGGTAAGGCTTAGGAATAAGAAATAGAGGCTCGTGGCTGCAAGACTGAAATTCTGTCTGCATCTTTCCATACGCTCATTAAAGTGAGAAATGCAACTCTTCTTATTTCCATCTGGTAATCAAATGCCCAAGATATGCAGGGTCAGGCTATTGTGCTCAGACTAAAACTCTAAGCATTTTGCTGGAAGAACTTGGCGAGGTGTTAACCCTAAGAAAATGTGGAACAAACACTTCCTTATAACCACAAAATGTCTTAAGATCTACTCTAACATTTGCAAACACACATTAATTTACATACTAAAATAGTAAATGAAATTTCTTGTAAGTTCAAAAAAAGACCTTTCAAATCTTTTTCATCACAACAGAGTGGAAATCCATCTGTCTTCAGAGTTGTCGAACTTTTCTTTCTGTACTTTTTATGTTGACATCTAACTTGTCCACTTTGGTTGTCAGCCGGTCAAGAATGTCATCTTGCTCCTCAATTTCCGTCTGGATCCCCAGGGCTATGTCCTTCAAACGGCCCAGTCCCATGGACAGCTCATCTGTGGGGGAAGGAAATGACACGCAGGCCTGAGCAAATACAATCACGGCACCTGCAAATGCTTCCTGATGGTGTGGGTAAGGAGGAGAGACATGCCGAGGAATCTCTGTCGCCTGGTGGGACTGCACTTACTGCAGAGATGAGTCTTGACTTAACTGATTATATCAGGGTAAAGAGAAATGCCTTTTTCCCAGGTTTGTTGACTGTGTGTATTTGTGCACGCTGGGGTAGGGAGACATGCCCAGGGCTGCTTTCTGTCTTTTTACTAAGAACAGCAGCCAGGAAAGAGCCAGAGGGGAGGGAGAAGAGGTGGTGCTTTGTAAGCCTTCTTATTTGCAAGATTAAATATAAAACACTAAGCGAAAAAAGATCAGGATATACAAATGCCTAGCACTGGCACCACAAATCTGAGTGAAATGAGTTTTTTTAAAAAGGTAGTCTTCGGGCTGCATGCGGTAGCTCACACCTGTAATCCTCACACTTTGGGAGGCCCCAGTGGGTGGACTGCATGACATCGGGAGTTTGAGACCAGCCTGGCCAACAATGGTGAAACCCTGTCTTTATTAAAAAATACAAAAATTAGCTGCGTGTGGTAGTACATGCCTGTATTCCTAGCTACCCAGGAGGCTGAGGCAGGAGAATCACTTGAATCTGGGAGGAGAAAGTTGCAGTGAGCTGAAATCAACGCACTGCCCTCCAGCCTAGACAACAGAGCAAGAGTCCATCTCAAAAAATAAAATAAAAAGATAGGCCAGGTGCGGTGGCTCATGCCTGTAATTCCAGCACTTTGGGAGGCTGAGGCGGGCAGATCACTTGAGGTCAGGAGTTTGAGACCAGCCTGGCCAACATGGTGAAACCTCATCTCTACTAAAAATGCCAGTAATCCCAGCTACTTGGGAGGATAAGGCGTGAGAATTGCTTGAACCTGGGTGGTAGAGCCTTCAGTGAGCTGAGACTGGACCACTGCACTCCAGCCTGGGTGACAGAGTGAAACTCTGTCTCAAAAAGAAATAAAAAAATAAAAAGATAATCTTCGGCTGGGTGAGGTAGCTCACGCCTATAATCCCAGCACTTTGGGAGGCCGAGGCAGGTGAATCACGAGGTCAAGAGATCAAGACCATCCTGGTCAACAAGGTGAAACCCCGTCTCTACTAAACATACAAAAATTAGCTGGGCATGGTGGTGTGTGCCTGTAGTCCCAGCTACTCGGGAGGCTGAGGCAGGAGAATTGCTTGAACCCAGGAGGCGGAGGTTGCGGTGAGCCGAGATTGTGCCATTGCACTCCAGTCTGGGTGACAACAGCAAAACTCCATCTCAAAAAAAAAAAAGACAATCTTCAAGTCAGGCACAGTGGCTCATGCCTGTAATCCCAGTACTCTGGGAGGCCAAGGTGGGAGGATTGCTTGAGCCCAGGAGTTGGAGACCGGCCTAAAAAAAAAAAAAAAAAAAAAAAAAAAAAAAAAAAAAAAAATTTTAAAAAAAAAAAAAAAAAAAAAAAAAAAAGATAGTCTTCAGCTCATTGCTTCTGGAGCTTACTGAAACTCATGGCCTCCTGCTCCATGGAGTAGAGCCTGTGGTTGCCTCAGACCTCAGGAGGAAGCTCACTGGCAGCCAGGGCAGCAAAGGATAAGCAAACAGTGAGGCTAAGATAAAATGTGTGATAATGTAAAGCAACCAGGCAAGGGCACTGGAGTTGAGAGCCTGCCTGAGTTCTAGAAATAGCAGGGAGGGTGTGTTAAGACGGGAAGAGTGTGAGCAAAGGCAACACCCCGTGCCCCACCAGAGTGGCTGGCCTGGCCTGTGTCAGCCGGGCTGGAGGGCCAAGCTCCGAACCAGCCACCCGCCCTTCTGCCCTGGCCTACCTCCTGCTCTAGACTTCGTCCTGCCAGGACCTGCCCAGCTGCAAGTCCACAGTGCCAACTGTGCACCCTCAGACCCCTTGTGGCGGGCAGTACTTAGCACTTTGTCCTGTCTCCTGGAATTCAGAATCCTTCATTAGTGTCCCTTCTCCCACTTCCTGCCATCAGGCACCAACCACACCACCTGCTCTAACCACTCCCTTTCTCCTGGTGAAGGACAAAGGGCTTTCAAGCCTCTCTGGGTTTCTCTGGAGTAGTCAGATCTGGGCAGACACACCTTCTACCTCGGAGAAGTCTTTCGCTCTGGAGAACAGAGTCCAGGAAATAGAATGAGGAGGCAGCTGTCTGGGGCTTCCCAGAGAGTGAGCAGGAGCAAGGCTGCGTGCAGATACTCCACGTGCATCTTCATGGGTTTCAGTTTCACCTCCCTCTAGATATCTTTACGGCAGTGGGCAGAGGGAGAGGGGGGAATCTTATTATTTCTCCCCTTCACTTTGCCAGCTCCAAACAGGGGCTGGGAGACTGACAGGGTGACCCAGGTCACCATGGGGGAGATTTCTGTTCATGGAGCTGCGGTAAGAGGAGGCAGCAAGTCTGAGACACTACCTAGAACAAAGACACGGAACTTCCCACAAGCCAGTACCTACTTGAACTTCAAATAACTGACTTCTCCATTCAAAAAATAATCCACTGGCCGCGTCTGATGGCTCATGCCTACAGTCCCAGCACTTTGGGAGGCCAAGGCGGGCCTGAGGTCGGGATTTTGAGACCAGCCTGACCAACACGGAGAAACCCTGTCTCTACTAAAAATACAAAATGAGCTGGGCGTGGTGGCACATGCCTGTAATCCCAGCTACTCGGGAGGCTGAGGCAGGAAAATCGCTTGAACCCGGGAGGTGGAGGTTGCTGTGAGCTAGATTCCACCATTGCACTCCAGCCTGGGCAACAAGAGCAAAACTCCATCTCAAAAACAAAACAAAACACCAGGAACAACAAAACAAAAAACAAAACAATCACTAAGTGCTTGCCTGCTGGGCCCCAGGTACAAAGTAGTGACAAAATGGAAACACTCCTATGCTGCCTGGAATCTGCAGTCTGGTTGGGAAGACAGCAGGCAAACCAGCAGATACACAATCACAAATGACCAGGACAGCCCCCTAGAAACACGAGGGCCCCAAGAGATGGGGAGAGGAGGCCACACTAATGCAAGACTGACAGGAGAAGGAGCCAGCCTGCAGAGAGTTGGAGGAGGCCACTCCAGGCAGATACGGGTCACGAGGCAGAAAGAACTCATATCAGAAATCTCACACGAGCTTGCAGGTGATGAAGGCAGAAGGTACCAGGGCAGGCAGAGAGAGCCTGGACTGCACTGTGAGTGTGTGTGGGTTCCATGAGAGAGTTCTGGAAGAATATACCCCCTCACTCCTTTTTTTTTTTTTTTTCTTTGAGACGAAGTTTCACTCTTGTTGTCCAGGCCAGAGTGCAATGGTGCAATCTCGGCTCACTGCAACCTCCACCTCTCAGGCTCAAGCGATTCTCCTGCCTCAGCCTCTCGAGTAGCTGGGATTACAGGCACCTGCCACCACACCCAGCTAATGTCTGTCTTTTTAGTAGAGATGGGGTTTCACATGTTGGTCAGGCTGATCTTGAACTCCTGACCTCACCTGCCTTGGCCTCCCAAAGTGCTGGGATTACAAGCGTGAGCCACCGTGCCCAGCCCCCTGCACCCCATTCTGTTTTGAAACATCATGCTGAAGGTCATGTCGCCAAAGTGCCAATTGCAACACTAGTGCTAACTCTTACCATGCCAGGCACTTTCTGGCTCGGGTAACTGTCCCATTGTTCTCAGAGGCAGCCCGTTTCACAGAGGAGGAAAACAGGGCTCTGAGTGGCCAATGGGAAAAATGGAGTGAGCGGTCACGTCCAGGCTACACTCGATGGCCTCTCAGGGACTCCTGGGTCCCTGGGTGCTGTCATGAAAGTGAGAGGTAGGGACGGCTAAGTTGGGCTGGAAGTAGGAAATAGTGAGAAGTGGACAGATTCCAGAGACAGTGAAGTGGCAAAATGGATCTGGCTTAGTGTGGGATGTGATGTGTGGTGAAGGAGCTAAAGCTGTAGGCTCCTGATGCAGGGGCTGTGCTTGGTGTGAGCTGCCTAAAGGACAGTGGCTTACAGAAGCGGGTACAGTGCTCAGTCTTACCTAGGTTGCTGTCGATCTTCTGGTGATAGGCTCGAAGGTGTGGGTTCTTCGGGTAAGCATCAGTACTCACAGCAGAACCAGCCCCTCTGGGTATAGGGTCTAAGTTTAGAAGTAAACATCATGAGAACAGTTACTTGACATTTCTTCAAATGCTGTTTCATATACCCCAAACAATTTCATCTGAAAAATGGGTGGAAGGAATGAGGGGGTTGGTTCTGAGGCCATCCAGAGGGATGGAGGAGCATGGGGCAGGCTCATGGGCCAGGAGAGACACTTCCACGGGGCAAGGGAGGGTCCTGCTCTCCCTCAGTCCTTGGGAGATTGAAGACCCTCGACCTAAGGGTCACCTACTCAGACGCTGGTGCACAAGCTCAGGAAAAAGTCACACAAGTGACGATATACCAGTGGAACTGCAATAACACAAAACTACATAGGCTGTGGACAAGGTCTAAAAATACTAATTGTTAGGTTATAGAAATGGAAGTATGGGTAATTTTGTTTTTATCTAAAATTTATTTCTACGCTATCTTTTCACTTGAAACAAGCAAAAAGAAATGTTAATGCACATTTTCCCCAAGAAATCTTCCTTGAACTTCAGTTTCTTCTTTTCTAAAATTATCTTTCTCAGCTTGGATGAACTTTAGTTTCTAAATGCACACAGAAAAGCCCTGTCATTCCAGTTATCTCTTAGGGAAATGTCACTTTCTAGACTTTGCATATTTTCTCCAGCATCAACCAACTGAAACCATTCTGCAAACTGTGTCAATTTTTTTTTTCAGTCTTTCAAGTTAATATATACCACACAAATGAAAACTCTCTTTAATTCCTTAAAATTGTGTCTTGGGTGAAGTGTCCTGTGCCACTTCTCCAGGGTATGATGAGGCGGGTTTTCCCAGCCCTTGCCTTTCAATTTACACTCACTTCCTCCACTTGCATTTCCAGACTGAACTGTGCTGATGATGTCAGTCTCTCCTGCTCCCAGCTCTTCCTCCATCTGGTCTCTCCTCAGCTGCATCAACCACAACCATAGTAGGTTCCAGAGTTTCCAAGGTGTGTTGTCTTCTTGAAGGCAGCACAGTAACCCTTTGGTTTCCAGCACCAATTTCAATGTACCTGGCTTTTGGGGGGCCTTTGGAGGAGGCCCCAGGAGTCTTAAATTCCTTTTCAGATAAGGAATGTTTCTGGGCTTATCACTTGATACAAGTGGGATGATTCGATCAACCCTCACTGTCTTGCACACCTTGTCCATGTGGCTGCTGCTCCTCTTGCCTGGGCTGAAGGCTGTATTAGTCCCCCACTGATGTTGTGACAAATGACCACAAACTTGTCTTTCGGTTCTGGGGGATGGAAGTCCAACATGGGTCTCACTGGGCTGAGTCAGGGTGTCCTCAGGGTTGCACTCCTTCTGGGGCTCTTGGGAAGAATCTAATTCCTTACCTTTTGCAGTTTCTAGAGTTCACCTGTGTACCTTGGCAAGTGGCCCCTGTCTCCATCTTTAAGACCAGCAGCATCTTCAGATCGCTGACTCTGCCACTCTCTCTTCTGTTTCCCTTTTCACTTAAAAGGGACCTTTGTGATGACAATGGACCCAACTGGACAACATAGGATAATCTCCCCATCTTATTGATTAGCAGTTATAACTCCATCTGCAACTGTAATTCCCCCTTTGCCATATAACCTAACACACTCACGGGATCGGGGATTAGGAAGTGGACAACTTTTGGGGGGACCATTATTCTATCTACCAAAGGGGTTTTTACTGCTGGAACAGCTGGAACAACTCAGAGCAACACAAGGCAGGAACCGATGATGGGCAGGCTCATTTTCTTTTCTTTTTTTTGAGATGGAGTTTCACTCTTGTTGCCTAGGCTGGAGTCCAATGGTGCAATTTCGGCTCACTGCAACCTCCGCCTCCCAGGTACAAGTGATTCTCCTGTCTCAGCCTCCCGGGTGGCTTGGATTACAGGCATGCGCCATCATGCCCACTTAATTTTTTTGTATTTAGTAGAGATGGGATTTTACCATGTTAGTCAGGCTAGTTGTGAACTCCTGACCTCAGGTGACCCATCTGCCTTGGCCTCCCAAAGTGCTGGGATTACAGGCATGTGCTACCTTGCACAGCTGGGCTGGCTCATTTTTAATCAAATGCAAGTCCCCACTTTCTTATTCTCCCCTCTATGGAGGGAGAGAAAGAGGGAGGTACCCCACCATAATGTACACCCCCAGGTCCCCGAGAGCATGCTGGGTCCCTAAGGCCCCTTCGGCTAGCATGGGTGATGCCAGCAGCTGGGGCCCCAGCCCACCTCCCCAGAGAGGTTGCCACTGCCTCCCAAGGACCAATGCCAAACCTAGAGGTCTCCCTCAAGAATTCAAAAGTGGGTGTGCACACAGATCTCCACTCACCTGTATCATCCAGCTTTCTAAGATTTGGGTGACTGGCCTGGTACTTTGCCTCCTGTTCTTTACTTGTACTTATGGCTTCTTTCAATCTTTGGATAAAAGTTCACAAAGAAGGTAAACATTTTAAAAAGGAAAAACCCCTATGACAGTGTTATCAATCTTTTCACATAATGCCTGTGTGCTAAAAATCAAATGGTTCCTCTGTGCAAAACTCCTTCTGACCAAAGTAGGGATTTCAACAGCTTCCCCCAGGAGTACAGTTGGCTGTGCAAGAAGCTTACGAATATCCCTGCCTTAGATAACACCTGCGTCAGAAGTGTGGCAGCTAAGGCACGTGTGGTGGCTCATGTCTGTAATCCCAGCCTTTTGGGAAACTGAGGTGGGAGAATTGCCTGAGCCCTTGAGTGTGAGACCTGGGTAACACAGTGAGACCTTGCAGCATCGAGTAGCACTGAGTTAGGTGGCCCCACTCTCTCAGAGAAACCAGGATTCCTAGGACCAGGCAGATGAAAAGCACATGAAACAACCAAACAGGTACTTTAGACCACAGTCAGCAAACAGTGAATGACCTGCCGACCACATCTGGCCCACCTCTTGTTTTTGGATTATTTCCCAGTTCTTTTTTTTTTCTCCTTTTTTGAGATGGAGTCTTGCTTTGTTGCCCAGGCTGGAGTGCAGTGGCATGATCTTGGCTCACTGCAACCTCTGCCTCTTGTTCAAGTGAAACTGCCTTAGCCTCCCAAATAGCTGGGATTACAGGTACATACCACCATGTCCTGCTAATTTCTGTATTTTTAGTAGAGACAGGGTTTCACCATCGTGGCCAGGCTGGTCTTGAACTCCTGATCTCAAGTGATCCACCCACCTTGGCCTCTCAAAGTGTTGGGAATTACAGGCATGAGCCACGGCGCCCAGCCTCAAGTTATTTTTATTGTGGTAAAATACACATAACAAAATTTCACCTGTTTTTATATGACCATGAGCAAAGAAGGGCCTTACAGGTGACTATCTGAACCGCAGACGATGAACTTTGAACCTCAGGGGTTTCATTCTTCTCATTAGTGCACTTATATTACCAAAACACTGTACTCAACTATTACTGTTTTTGTTGTTGTTTGAGATAGGGTCTCAGTCACCAAGTCTTGAGTACAGCAGCACAAACACTGAAGTCTCTAACTCCTAGGCTCAAGTGATCCTCCCATCTCAGCCTCCCAGGTAGCTGAGACCAAGCACTCACCACCCTGCCTGGTGAATTTTTTTTTTTTTTTTTTTAAACAGAGTCACGCTCTGTCACCTAGGCTGGAGTGCAGCGGTGTGATCTTGGCTTACTGCAGCCTCCACTTCCCAAGTTCAAGCGTTTCTCCTTCCTCAGCCTCCCAGGTAGCTGGGATTACAGGTGCCCACCACCATGCCCAGCTAATTTTTGTATTTTTAGTAGAGACGAGGTTTCACCATGTTGGCCAGACTGGTCTCAAACTCCTGACCTCAGGTGATCCGCCCACCTCAGCCTCCCAAAGTGCTGTGATTACAGGTGTGAGGTCACCGCACCTGGGCAATTTAAAAAAAAAAAAATTTTTTTTTGAGACAGAGTCTTGCTCTGTCACCCAGGGTGGAGTGCAGTGGCATGATCTCGACTTACTATAACCTCCATCTCCTGGGTTCAAGCTATTCTTCTGCTTCAGCCTCCTGAGTAGCTGGGATTACAGATGCACAGCACCATGCCCAGCAAATGTTTTGTATTTTTAGTAGAGATGGCGTTTCACCATATTGGTCAAGCTGATCTCGAACTCCTGACCTCAAGTGAGCCACCTGCCTTGGCCTTCCAGAGTGCTGGGATTACGGGTGTGAGCCACTGTGCCGGGTCTAATTTTTTAAAACTTTTTGTAGAAATGAGGCTTACCAGTTTGGCCAGGGTGGTCTTAAACTTCTTGAAATGAAGTGATCCTCCTGCCTCAGCCTCAAAAAGTGCTGGGATTACAGACATGAGCCACTGTGTCCAGCCTATTACTGTTTTTATATTTTGAATTTGTCACTAAAAAGTTGTGAAAATATGTTTTTTTCTCATCACATAAGTCCCTATAAAATATCTTTGATTTTGCTCCATGGCCTAGTTTCCTAACACTGGCTATAGAAAGGGACACCTCTGGCAACTCAAAGTCATTTAGACTGTGTCTGATGCCCTAATTTTTCTATTTTTAGTAGAGATGGGGTTTCACCATGTTGGCCAGGATGGTTTCGATCTCATCCTGCTGAGCCCTCCGAGGTGTGGCAGGTGCCTCCAGCTAGGAGCTGTGCCTCTCCAACAGCCTGCTCTTCTCCATCTCAACAGCAGCCTGACCACTTCACCAGCCAAGCTGGGAACCATGGTTACCTGCAATTTTAGCCTTCCCCCTGCACAGTGCTACTCCCAGCGATCCCGGCAAAACAAACGGCCTCTTTTTTTTTTTTTTTCCTCTAAAGATGGAGTTTCGTTCTTGTTGCCCAGGCTGGAGTGCAATGGCATGATCTCAGCTGACTTCAACCTCCACCTCCCAGGTTCAAGCGATTCTCCTGCCTCAGCCTCCTGAGTAGCTGGGATTACAGGCTTGTGCCACCACACCCAGCTAATTTTGTATTTTTAGTAGAGATGGGGTTTCTCCATGTTGGTCAGGTTGGTCTTGAACTTTTGACCTCAGGTGATCTGCCTGCCTCAGCCTCCCAACGTCCTATGATTACAGGCGTGGTGACGCCCAGCAACAAATGCCCTCTTGATATCCCACCCTCCAGGTATCCCAGAAACCCAGTTTCTCCTTCTGCCTTTTTTTTTTGAGACAGAGTCTCACTCTGTCGTCAGGCTGGAGTGCAGTGGCGTGATCTCAGCTCACCACAACCTCCACCTCTCGAGTTCAAGTGACTCTCCTGCCCCAGCCTCACGAGTAGCTGGGAATACAGGCCCATGCCACTACGCCCAGCTAATTTTTGTATTTTTAGTAGAGATGGGGTTTCACCCCAGGAGGCGGAGGTTGCGATGAGCCGAGATTGTGCCAATGCACTCCAGTCTGGGTAACAAGGGCGAAACTCCGTCTCAAAAAAAAAAAAAAAAAAAAGAGAGATGGGGTTTCACCACGTTGGCCAGGATGGTTTCCATCTCTTGACCTCGTGATCCGCCCGCCCTGGACTCTCAAAGTGCTGGGATTACAGGCGTGAGCCACTGCGCCCGGCCAAGAAAGCCAATTTCTAGGGACAGTGAGAGAAGGGATAAGAAAGTAGAGAAGGTTAGCCGGGTAATGTCTGTAATGCCAGCACTTTGGGAGGCTGAGGCAGGCGGATTATCTGAGGTCAGGAGTTTGAGACCAGCCTGACCAACATGGTGAAGGCCTGTCTCTACTAAAAATACAAAATTAG